CTCTCTCTCTCTCTCTCTCTCTCTCTCAAAAATAAAAAAATTAAGAACATTTTTTTTTTTTAATTACCTATTTAAGTGATCCCTACACCCCATGTGGGGCTCAATCTCACAACCCCAGGATCAAGAGTTGCATGCTCTTCTGACTGAACCAGCCAAGCACCACTAGGATTTTTTGCTTTTTACTTGTTTATTTGTTTGTTTACTTGGATTTTTTGCTTTTTAAATTTAAGTTTCTTAGTGATGGGCCTTTTGGGAATTTGAGGCTGATATTACTCAACTAAACAGAAAAGTGGTTTGTTCACATCTAGGTAGCTAGGGAAATACCAGAGGCCAGGCATGACTGGTGCCACTACCTGTTGTGGGTATAAAAGGTAAAAACTTGAATTAAGACCCCAAGACAAAGAGATGTGATTGCTGACACTTCTTGCTTAACAGCAGAGCTGACAGTGACCCTGAGCTAGGAGGGCAGGGTCCAGATGCAGATAGACAAAGCGGGACTGGCATGAGCAGGGTCAAGATGCCTATTCTCTACATTTGCTGCCTGCTGCAGATTGTTCAGAAGGAGGCAGAGCGGGCTGAACGGGCCAAGGAGCGGGAGAAGCGGCGAAAGGAGCAAGAGGAGGAAGAGCAAAAGGAGCGGGAGAAGGAAGCAGAGCGGGAAAGGAACCGACAGCTGGAGCGGGAGAAGCGTCGAGAGCACAGCAGAGAGAGAGACAGGGAAAGAGAGAGGGAAAGGGAGCGTGACAGGGGTGATAGAGATCGGGATAGGGAGAGGGACCGGGAGCGAGGCAGGGAGAGGGACCGCAGAGACACCAAGCGCCACAGCAGGAGCCGGAGTCGGAGCACACCTGTGCGGGACCGGGGCGGGCGCCGCTAGCTGGGAAAACTTGAGAGGGAGAGCTGCAGGCATCAGCCACCCTGCCCTGGGGGGTTCGAGGCCACAGAGGGATAGGTACAATCTCTACCACCCTATAACCAGGGGTCTTTCACATCTTTTACCCAGTGCTGAAGTATGGCTGCCACCTGTCCCCACATACCAAATGGAGTAGTGGCCATCTTTCCCCCCCAAAGCCCCACCCCCATAACCTATCTCTTGGGAGTTCGCCCTCTTCTCCCTCTCATTTCCCATGATAAATCTGAGAGGGAAGAGCTAGGTTAGGGAGGAAGGTGGTTGGCCCAGAGGCGGGGAACAGCCAGGAGCCCCACACCTCTTTCATTTTTCCTCCATCCTGCTCACCACCTCCTTTGGGTACTCACACCCCTCTCTTGGGAACAGCCGGGGCCAGGACTGGGTCACCTATGAGCTGAATCAGCATCTCCTCCTGAGTCCCAGGGCCCCTGCAGTTCCCAGTCTCTTCTGTCCTGCAGTCCTTGCCTCTTGCCCACCGGTTCCACTTTATATCCACCTTTTCCTTTTGTTCAATTTTTATTTTTATTTTTTTTATTATTAAATGATGTGGTCTATGGAAAATAATAAAAATCTGACTTAGTTTTAACTAGTGTGTGTTACTGGCCTTCCTTGGGCAGGGCGTGGGGGAGAGCCAAATTGAGTTGAAGAGGACTGGTAGCATGGAAGCACCACTGTTTGCACTCCCTACACTTGTTCAGGAAGCCTGCTGCTTCCTGGAGCAGGGAATTCCCGCCCTCCATCTCTGCCTTGGCTGTAACCACGTCGCCACAGAGGATCTAACTCACTGGAGGGCAGAGAGGGGAAGACCCCTGCCAAGAGGAGTGTTGGTTGGAGGGTTGAGGAGGTTCCCAGTCCTTCCTGTGGTGTAGGCTTTTGGTCACCTGCTCGCCTCCTTCAAGGCGCCTCCCACGGCTGCCGCCAGGGGGCGGCAGCCACTAGCTCAATGGGAACCTGTAAAGGAGCTTCCCAAAAAGGCTCCACTCCCCACCTCCGTCCCCTCCCGCTGCTGGCGTGCCTCGGGCCCTGACCTGTTCCCTGGGCTCAGCCCGCGGTCTCCCTGGACCCTTCTGCCGGGCTTAAGCGCTGCCCCAGTCGGCCCGCTCTGGTGCCCCGCACCGGCCCCCCAAATGCCGCCGCCTTGTGGCCGGGGTTTACAGCCGCCACGGAGGCCGCCCCGGGAGCTGGAGCCGGGCCTCTCCGCAGCGGGCTCCTAATTCCCCGCCTCACCACACGCTCGCCCTTCGCCCCGCTGCGGGCGGTATGCGGGGGCCGCTCGGCGCTCCCGGCTTCACCCTCTTCGCCAGCCGTTGGAAGACGGCCTGGCGCCGGGGCCTGGACGTCCTCCCGCCCAAGTGGCCCGCCGGGCGCTGCGGGCCCGGCCCGGGAGGGGCGCTGCATCTGTATGCGCCCGGCGGCCCGGCAGCGCCGCCCCCGCCCCCGCCGCGCGGGCCCGGGCTGGCCGGGGAGGGTCGGAGGCTGGGCTCTCTCCCGCGCGCCGCGGAGCCGCCTCGCTCCTCCGCAGGCGGAGCCTCCTTCCCCCGCCCCCTCCGTCTCGCTCCCTTGTTCTCGCCGGGGCCGCTCAGACCTGCAGCGGAGCCGCGGCGCCCGTTCCGATCCGCTCGGGGCTGCGCCCCCGGGACCCGGCGACGGGGGCGGGCGGGGACGCTCCCCGCCGGCCTGGGCCCCTCGGCACTGCCAGGTAAGGGCGCCTGCCCCGGAGCCCGGGGTCGACAACCCGCGGAGGGGCAGCAGGGGGCCCGCAGCCTGCGGGTGTCTTCAGAGCGGTGCGCTCCGCGGCTGGGAGCCCACTGCCCGCTCCCGTCTCCCGCGCTCTACCTCTTTCCCTTCTTCCCTCGCACCTACTCTCCCTCCTTTCCCCATTTTCCTCTCCCTCGATTTCTCTTCATCCTGCCTTCTCTCTGCCTGTTTGCCTCCTCCGCCTCTTCCCTCTCCCTCTTGCCCTGTCTTTCTCCATCTCCTCTTCCTCTTTGCCGTTTCCTTCCCCTACCTTTCCTTTCCTTTCTCTTTGCCTTTTCCCGCTCTCCTTTCCTTTCCCCGTCCCTTCCCTTTCGCCGCCTCTTCCCTTCCCGCTATCCTGTTTCCCACTCCTCCAGCCCTTCCCTTCTCCTCGTCCCGCCTCCCGCTCTGGTCCCCCGGCTTCCCTCCGGCTTCCCTCTTCTGCTTCCCTCTTCCCTCGGGGGGCAAAGGACTGGCAGGTGTGTTTCTGCTCTGGGGAAGGAGGGGTGGCAGCCACAGCTACCTGAGGGATGCCCCCCAGGAGGAGAGGGAGGAGACAGCAGTGGGAAGGGTCCTCTCTCCAGCTCTCTTCCCGAAGCCCCTCCTGGCCACCCCCCTCTCCCAGATTGAAGTTCTCCAGGCCTGGCCTGACCCCCCATAGCTGAGGGCTGCCCCTGTCTGCCCATCACACACAGAAAGCCCCTCTGCCCCCCTCCCAACCATTCCCAAGCCTGTTACCTATGACTCCTCTCTGCCTATCACACATCCAGGCTGCCTCCTTTGATCTCTTTCCTTGTGTCTCTTGCTGCCATTCTGTCTCAGTCTGTGCCGGACAGTGCCTGAGTCTGGGTCTCACCCTCAGTAACGTTGTATCTGTACTCTCTGCTCTCCCTTCCCAGCCTCCTGGCCCTGGCCCCCAACTCTACCCCCTCTTCTTTCAGGGCTGGCCCTCCACTCTGGAGTCCCCCTTCAAGGACTTCAGCTGGCAGTATGAGCTGGGGGCAGGTTCTGGAGAGGTGGGGTTCTCCGTGAAAGAGGGACTTTCACAGGCTCGCAACCCTGTCTTCGGCTGCACTCCTTGTCATTGCTCAGCCTGACCCTAGACACCCTGACACCGCACCTTCATGAGTCCCAGCCTCTGGATTTTAAGCCCTTTCTCTGGTAGTCCCCATCTCCTCCAACCCCCTGGCTGCATGCCCAACCTGGGAGAACAGGAGCCACATTTAGGGTTCTAAACCCTTCTGGCATCCCCTCTCCTGTTTTCTTCCCCAGCTTCTCGACTCAGAGTTGACTGGCCAGAGATTTATCAGCTTGTAGGGCTGGAGGTGAATACAGGCAGAGCCTGGGTGGAGAGAAGGATCAGACTGTCTGCTCTGTCTCAGTCTGGGTTCTGGGCAGTGGGATGTCTGGTTCCTTGGAGGTCTGATCTTCAGCATCTAACTTTGGTTGGGGGGTGGGGAGAGTTAAGGGTTTCTTTGACCCTGAACAACTACCTGTCCTACAGGTGTGGATCCATGGGGTAGCTCCAACGCATCTGCCCCTCTGCCCCGGCCAGCTCATGCCTCAGTACCCAGGGACAGTGAACAGAGCCCCGGCTGGAGCCCAAACATGTGGGGTCTGGTAAGACTCCTCCTGGCCTGGCTGGGTGGCTGGGGCTGCATGGGGCGCCTGGCAGCCCCAGCCCGGGCCTGGGCAGGGTCCCGGGGGGGCCCAGGACCAGTACTGCTACGGAACCGAAGGAGCTGGGTGTGGAACCAGTTCTTTGTCATTGAGGAATATGCCGGTCCAGAGCCAGTCCTTATTGGTAAGGTAAGGATCAGCCCTTCCCATGTCTACCTTGACTCTTGAGGCCCTTAGGCCCTGCCCTGCAACTTCATCACTTCTACAATGACCTTGGTCCCTCAGGATTCCCAACGCTCCACCCAGTCATAGACTTAGACTCTTTAACCTTCTGTCCCTATGCTTGGAACCCGCTGCCATTTTTCCCTGACCCCTACAGCTGCACTCGGATGTGGACAGGGGCGAGGGCCGCACGAAGTACCTGCTGACCGGGGAGGGGGCAGGCACTGTATTTGTGATTGATGAGGCCACAGGCAATATCCATGTCACCAAGAGCCTGGACCGAGAGGAGAAGGCACAGTACGTGCTGCTTGCCCAAGCCGTGGACCGAGCCTCAAACCGGCCTCTGGAGCCCCCTTCAGAGTTTATCATCAAGGTGCAAGACATCAACGACAATCCACCTATCTTTCCCCTCGGTCCCTACCACGCCACAGTGCCCGAGATGTCCAATGTCGGTGAGTACCCCAACTCTGACCATCCCGGGGTCCGTCTCCTGGAGCACCCTCACCTCTCCTTCCCGCATTGCCGTCATGTCTGGGTCCCCCTCATCTGCTGTTCCTTCCCACCTGGCCCTGCCCCTGCTGAGTGGGGGTGCCGGGACACCCCACAGGGACGTCAGTGATCCAGGTGACGGCTCACGATGCCGATGACCCCAGCTACGGGAACAGCGCCAAGCTGGTGTACACCGTGCTGGATGGACTGCCTTTCTTCTCTGTCGACCCCCAGACTGGTGAGAATAGGGCTCAGGAACCTGGGGGGGCAGCCATGGGAACAGGCACCCCCTGACCCCTCGTCTCTCCCCAGGAGTGGTGCGGACCGCCATCCCCAACATGGACCGGGAGACACAGGAGGAGTTCTTGGTGGTGATTCAGGCCAAGGACATGGGCGGCCACATGGGGGGGCTGTCGGGCAGCACTACAGTGACAGTCACCCTCAGCGATGTCAACGACAACCCCCCCAAGTTCCCTCAAAGTAAGGGGCCAGTGCTGCCACCTGACCCATCCTTTGACCGCCCCACCCCCTACGGCCTCTGGAGAAGTCTTCTCTCCTGCCCCTCCCTTAGCCAGCCCCCAGGAGAAGGAAGTGCTGGGGGAGGGAGGAGGGCTGGGACCCCTCTAAGAATGTTTCCTCTCCATCCACACCCAAGGCCTGTACCAGTTCTCTGTGGTGGAGACTGCTGGGCCAGGCACCCTAGTGGGCCGTCTGCGGGCCCAGGACCCAGACCTGGGGGACAACGCCCTCATGGCATACAGCATCCTGGACGGAGAGGGGTCCGAGGCCTTCAGCATCAGCACAGACTCCCAGGGTCGAGATGGGCTTCTCACCGTCCGCAAGGTTAGTCTCCTGTCTGCTAACACTTGCAGACTCACTCATGCGTGCCTCCTGCCCCATGAGGCACCCCTCTAACTGGTCTACAACAGACTCGGGACCACCGTTGGAGCTTAGGGATCATGGTCATCTAGTCCTCTTTCAGATGAGGGACTGGGGCCCAGCAAGGGGGAATGACTGGCTCAGGACTTTTTATGTAGCCAGTCTGTGGTGGAGCTGGAGCCACACCTAGAGTTATGGACTAAGTCATCTGCCTCACTCTGACCACCACGGCCACTGCCTCTCAGGTGCCCACCTCTCCTGTCAGGTGGGCTGAGCACTGGTTGCATGGAGAGGGGACGTCTCTCTTACCTCCCGGGAGCTTGGGCCTGCCCTGGTTTCCACGTGCCTCAGTCACTCCCCGTCCCCTCCCCATAGCCCCTAGACTTTGAGACCCGGCGCTCCTATTCCTTCCGTGTGGAGGCCACCAACACCCTCATCGACCCAGCTTACCTGCGGCGAGGGCCCTTCAAGGACGTGGCCTCGGTACGCGTGGCTGTGCAGGATGCCCCAGAGCCCCCTGCCTTCACCCAGGCTGCCTATCACCTGGCAGTGCCTGAGAACAAAGCTCCCGGGACGCTGGTGGGCCAGGTCTCAGCCTCTGACCTGGATTCCCCAGCCAGCCCAATCAGGTGAGCTGGGGTGTGGGCAGGGGAAGGGCCGGGACTCAGGGAAGGAGCTCAGCAGCAGGCTATTCCCACTGAGGATGGGTCCCCTTCATGGAAAAATCACACTCACCTTCTGGCTGCAGGAGCCCACTCTGCAGGACTGGGGGCCAGGGGAGGGCTGGAGGACCTGGCTAATTACCGCTCTCCATTTCCACCCATCCCTCTGAGAGGATAACAGTGGCACCTCCCAGTGGCGGTGCAAGCAAATGCAATCTCTTGCGAGGAGCTTGGTGGATGGGTGATGGCTACCACTATTGCTTCACATTTTACCAAACGCTTGACCACATTCAATTCTCACGACAGCCCCATGAAGTAGGCATGATCATCACCCGTTGTTTTAGAGACGAGGCCCCGAGAACTTAAGTTACTTGCCCAAGGTTACATCGCCAGAGTTGGGATCCAAATCCGGATTTGTCTGCCTTGAGAAGAGCCACTCTTCCCACCTCTGGGCATCCCTGTCACAGGAATGAGGGAGGTGCTGGCGTCATTGCCATTTTGTGGTTAAGTAAGGAGAGGTTGAACGATTCACCCAAGGTCACACAGCTGGTCTCAGGCAAAGCAAAGCTGAAACACAGGTCCCTGGGTCCCCAAAACAGAGCCCAAGAGTCTGACAGACAGATCATATCTACCCCTTTTCCACCTCTTCCTCTCCCAACCCCATGAAACCCAGTCCCCCTGAGTCTTAGGACAGGTGTTTAATGTTTATGACTTCCCCAAATGATTTGTTTTTTAAGGGGACCCTAATGTGAATCATGGCTCTGGGTACACGGGGCAGGCTCAGCCCAGACGAGCTCGGGCCCTCTGCCCAGAAGAGCCAAGAGTCCCAGCAAGGCAAACAGAAGGGAGGGAGGGGTAGCAGCCAGCTCCGGCCCTGCCCCAGATCAGCCCCCAGCTCCACTCCATCTTCCCCAGATACTCCATCCTCCCCCACTCGGATCCAGAGCGCTGCTTCTCTATCGAGCCCGAAGACGGCACCATCCGCACGGTGGTGCCCCTGGACCGCGAGACTCGTGTCTGGCACAACCTCACAGTGTTGGCCACAGAGCTCGGTGAGGAGCCCTGGGCCCCCAGGAGAGGGGAAAGCAGCAGCCTCCTGGCAGAGGAGCTGTCCCTGAGCAGGGGGAGTTGGGGGGGGGGGAGGGGCAGTCACTGCCACCACTCCTCACTGTGTGCAGCGCCGGGTCCCCAGCCTGGATCATCACCACCAGGCAGGCCTTCTGGTCTCTGAGGCTGGGCTGGCCTGGGCACGGTGGGTCTGCCTGCACATTCCCCTGACTTTAAATTCACTCCCATGCCTGACTTTCCCCAACTGGGAAACAAACCTAACCTCAGATAGCTTCCAACCCCTAACAAACCCCAACCTGCACCTTGGCAGACCCTGCCCTTCCCACTGTCTGCTGCAGGCTGAAGCCAGGGTCCAGGGAAGGGCTGGGTCCCTCCTCTGGGGGCTGACTGGGGGGGGCCCCAGAAGCCCCTCTCAGGGAAGCCCCGCAGAGAGCCTTCAAGGTAGAAGAGAGGGCCCAGCTCCTGCCCCTGTCAGCTACCAGTCACCAGCAGCATGGGTTGACTACCTCTGGGCAGCCATGGCCACCGGAGATAGGAAGACCTCCTTCCCCTTTGTGAACCCCCCCTTCTCACCCCTGTTCACGCCCCAGGGTCTCCTACATTTTCTCTCTGTGTCCTGTCTGTGGGAGTTGTAACTGTGTGCACAGATGTTTGTACATGTCAGTGAAGAACTATATAGTATGTGTACGTGTGAGTGTGTACCTACATGTGTGTATAATTCTGTGTGTGTGAAAATACACACACGTATTCGTGTGTATATGTAGTTGAGTATAGAATATTTGTGCATATGTGTAATTTGATGTATATGATAATAGGTACAAGTGGGCATTTATATATATCGTTTTGCATGTGTGAGTGTTTGCGGACAGGTAATTTATTACTTATTGTGTATCAGGCACTGTTCTAGGTACCAAATGTGAACGAATTAATGTAATCACCACTACAACTTTATGTGGGAGGTATGATTAGTTCCCCATTTGAAAATAAGGAAACTCAGGCAGAGAGAAGTTAAGTAACTTCCCAAGGTCACACAGACGTTAAGTGGAAGAGCCATCAGACCCAGTCAGGCTGCAGAATCAGAGCAGTTATCTCCTCTCAGTGTAGAATTTTCTGTGTATGGGCTTATGTTTATGCCCATGTCGCTGTGTGTTACATAGAAGTGCTTGTGTATCTGTCCATGGGAATGCCCCTGCGTGTTTACATAGTGTGTTTGTAGTTGCCTGTGTATACGTAGCCGTGTGAGTGTGTGTGTGTGTGTGTGTGTGTGCGCGCGTGGTGCACGCGCATGCTCCCCTCCCTGCCTTCTCACCCTCCCACCAAATCCTGCTCTGCAACGAACCCCAATATCAAGTAGCAGGCCCCGGGTCTTGACTGCAGAGAAGGAATGGAGCCCCAAACCCTTGGCTGGGGAGCCCACTCAGCCTCCCTTGCCCAGGCTGGGACCTTAGCCCCTTCACCAGGGCTAGCCAGCTCTCTCCCCACCTGGAGAAGGACTAAAGAATGTGGGAGGCTCAACCAGGAGAGGTGAGCACCAGGGTGGGCAGGGGTATGTGTTTTCCATTCTCTCTTGGATGGCATTGGCAGTGAGGAGCAAGGCAGGGCAATGATGAAGCCACCTGATAAAGGGATGCATGAAGAAGGGGGCCTGTGTCTAGCTCTGGTACCCAAGCTGGCCTGGCTCCCCAAGGCCAGCTCTAAGTGATACTCATTGCTATACCATGGCCTCCCGGACCTCTGATGGGGTGTGTGTGTGTGTGTGTGTGTGTGTGTGTGTTGTGTGTATGTGCGCACGCGCGCGCGTTTGTCTGTCTCTGTCCCACGCACGCTGTGTATGAAAATGCATTCTCTCGACCCGGGGGGCTGGTGACACTGTATTCACTGTATATATCCAACATCTACTTCGTGTGTGTTGTATTTGCTTTAAATGCTGAGTGTACATCGAATATATGGTATGAATGTGTTTATTTCATGACTATTGTGTGTGTGCATCCTGTATGCACTTTGTGTCTACCTTTCATTCACGGTGCATGTGCCCTGCATGTGGGTTATTGTATGTATGTATTGTGGGTGCTTCCCTCCTGCTGAATGTGTGTGCTGCATTGCACATATCTTGGCTACCATGGGAATCTTGTGTGCACTTGGTGTTGCTCCTTTCATTTCACAACGCTGTTTCTCACTCGCATATTGCGTGCATTTCTCGTGTGTTGCACGTGCATGCTGTGTGCTGCATGTGGCATCCATGCCCGTGCACCCTGTGTGCTGTGTGTAAACTGTGGCGTGTGTGTGTGTGTGGGGTGTATGTGTTCGTGTTCTGGCTTCAGACAGCTCCGCACAGGCCTCCCGCGTGCAAGTGGCCATCCAGACCTTGGATGAGAATGACAACGCCCCCCAGCTGGCCGAGCCCTACGACACCTTTGTGTGTGATTCTGCAGCCCCTGGCCAGGTGAGATGCTGAGGCAGCAGGGTTGGGACCTCAAGACCTCCAGCTGCCCACTCCATACAAGGCCTCTCTTCTTCCTCCCAGCTGATTCAGGTCATCCGGGCTCTGGACAGAGATGAAGTTGGCAACAGTAGCCGTGTCTCCCTTCAAGGGCCTCTGGGCCCTGATGCCAACTTCACTGTCCGAGACAACCGAGGTGGGTAGCCTTCTACCACTGTGCCTGTGCCTGTCTCCCTGCTCTTCTCTTCCTCTGCCACCCCCTAGCCCAGTCGGCCTGACTCCTGACCCACATATCTGGGCCCTTCACTCAACAGAAAGTGGATGGGGATTTGCACGTTTTTGCTCTTTGCAAACCTTCCCCATCGGAAGCTGTCTCCGTGGGTCGCACCCACCCTACAGGGGAGGTGTCCCCGGAGATAGCCAACACCTTCCCTCTCCCACAGATGGCTCTGCCAGCCTGCTGCTGCCCTCTCGTCCTGCTCCGCCCCGCCAGGCACCCTATCTGGTTCCCATAGAGCTGTGGGACTGGGGACAGCCAGCTATGAGCAGCACTGCCACAGTGACTGTCAGCGTGTGCCGCTGCCGTCCTGATGGCTCTGTGGCGTCCTGCCGGCCCGAGGCGCAGCTCTCCCCCGCTGGGCTCAGCACTGGGGCCCTGCTTGCCATCATCACCTGCGTGGGCACCTTGCTTGGTGAGTCAGGCCACCGTGGGACATAGATGTGGGGTCCAAGGCTGCAGGGGGTATAGAGAGGAGCCAGATCCCTGGACACAGGGAAATCCACCCTAGGGCATGAAGGAAGCATCATGCCTGGATTTTCCCACTGCCTCATGTGTCCAAGAGAAAAGCTCTGGCCTCATTTCCCTGACATACCCATCCACAATGACAGCAACAAGCCATAAAAACTGTTTATTGAACCCTGACTCAGGACCACGTGTGGTGCCCAGCACATCACTCGTGCTATTTCCTTTCATCCTTTGAACAGCTCTAAGAGGTAAATTTGTTTTCCCTGTTTTCCACACAAACCCTCTAAAGGGTCACAGAGGTTCACAGAAGCCAAGCAACTTCCCACAGTCACACAGCTAGTAAGGGGTGAAGTCAGGACTCAAACGAGGTTTGCCAGATGTCAGACCAAGGTCTTGCCACCCCTAGGCCACACTGTCTCCTCTGTCTCCCAACCTGCCTGCGGTTCAGAACGGAACCAGGTGCCCTGTTCCGGGCCCTGCGGGCTCAGCGCCCTGTGTGCGCCTCTCCCCCAGCGCTGGTGGTGCTCTTTGTGGCCCTGCGGCGGCAAAAGCAGGAAGCGCTGATGGTGCTGGAGGAGGAGGACGTCCGCGAGAACATCATCACCTACGATGACGAGGGCGGCGGCGAAGAGGACACCGAGGCCTTCGACATCAGCGCACTGCAGAACCCTGACGGGGCGGGCCCACCGAACCCGGGCCCTCCAGCGCGCCGCGACGTGCTGCCCCGGGCCCGGGCGCCACGCCAGCCCAGGCCCCCCGGCCCCTCTGACGTGGCCCAGCTCCTGGCGCTGCGGCTCCGCGAGGCGGACGATGACCCCAGCGTGCCGCCCTACGATTCGGTGCAGGTGTACGGCTACGAGGGCCGGGGCTCCTCCTGCGGCTCCCTCAGCTCCCTGGGCTCCGGCAGCGAAGCGGGGGGCGCCTCCGGCCCCACCGAACCACTGGACGACTGGGGGCCGCTCTTCCGCACCCTGGCTGAGCTGTACGGGGCCAAGGAGCCCCCGGCCCCCTGAGAGCCGGCCCTGGCCCTGCCCGCCGCGGTGGGGCAGCCCGCGCAGGCCCTCTGAGTGAGCTCCCCCGGGGTCCAGGCAGGCGGCAGCAGCCCAGGGGTCCCCAGGCCTCCTTTCCTCCCTGTGTCCCTCCTCCCAGCTTCCCCAGGGCAACCTCCTTCTTACCTCCCTCCTCCTGAGTCTGTGTGTCTCCCTCCAGGGATCTCTGTCTCTTTCTGTAACGCTCTCCTGTCTGGGTCTGGATTGTGTGGCTCGACTCTGAATCTCTCTGTTCTTTCACTGTGATTCCACTCTCTCTGTGACTCTGTTTTTGTCTCCCGGATTCTAAATCTCTCTCACACCCTCTCTCTGTCTCCCTTGCCCACATACATGCTCTGTGTCTGTCTCCTGCCCACATCTGCCTGCATTCTCTCTGGGTCCCTGTGACTGGCTTTTTGGTTTTTTCTGTTGACCATCCCAAAAGCAAGAGAAACTTCCAGCCACTGCTGCCCACCCTCCTGCAGGGGATGTTCGGCCCCAGGTCAGTGTCCCTAGATGATGGGCCTGGGGGCACAGGGATGGCCTGAAGCCCTCCTCCACTCACCACCTCGACCCCGGGCTCTCCTGTCTTTACAGACCTGCCCGCATGGTTCCATCCATCACTCATGGCCTCATCCTGGCTCCACTGGCCTCCAGCAGAGAGAGGGTGCCAGCCCACCTCCCAGGGCGAGAGCTCCAGCACACCCCACTCCCGCCATGGCCGCCTCCCTGGAGCTCTGCCCAGCTGTTGGCCTGCCTTGGGCATCCCAGCTCTGGGCATTGTCTTGTGTGCTTCCCAGGCCCCAGGGGGAGGGGAGGGAAGGAAAGAAAAGAGGGAGGCAGCTGGGGAAGGGGAAAAAGGGAGGAAGGGGAGAGGCCTCCATCTCTAATTTCATAATAAACAAACACTTTATTTTCTAAAGCTGGAGCCCTGTTTTCAGTTCCACATGCAGGTTTCTGTGCAGAGCTTCACTGTGCCATAGGGTGGGAGGAGAGGCCTAGCCCATCCCCTCTGGCTCACTCTCCTCTCTCCTTTGGGGGGCAGTCCACTTCAAGCCCCTCTAGCCTGAGGAGGGTTTGAGTTGATTCCATTCAGGAAGTAAGCACGCCCACTCCCACTGCCAACTCCCCTGTTTCCTGTTGGTCTCAAAATGTCCAAGGGAGCTAAGAGGGATTGGCCAGAGGGGAGAGTGGAAAGGAGAAGGGGGGGGTGAGAGCTATTGGGAAGAATAGAGGAGAGATGAAAGGAGGGAAAGAGTGGTTTTCAAACCGGGGAAAAAATGTGGCTGGGGGGCAGCAGAGGGAGGCAAGCCAGTCCTCCTGTGGCCTGTGGTGCCCGTCAGGAGAGGGTGGCTGGGGTGAGACCGCCGGTCACATTGATTCTGGGCCCGGCCCCAACTTCAGTTCTCCCTGGTCCTCATCTTACTCTCCATGGAACACAAAGGAGGAGGAAGAGGGACCAGGGAAGTGAGCTATTGAGGGGCCAACTGACCAAATCAAAGTCATTTGGGGTGGGAGCTGAGCAGAGGGCCATCATTTCTCACTGTGCACTCCCTGAGCAGACAAGGGAGTTCCTAGCTCCAGTCAGGGCTCCTGGAGATTCGAGTAGATGGGTCAGGACAGGTCCTTGTGACCCTCCTCTCCAAGTGTAGGCTGCTGGCCATCGGAGGAAACTACTCCAATGAAGATGCCTTCTCTCACAACTTTTTTTTTTTTTAAGTTTATTCCTTTATTTTTAGAGGGAGAGAGAGCATGAGCAGGGGAGGGCAGAGGGAGAGAGAGAGAATCCCAACCAAGCTCCACGCTGTCAGCACAGAGCCCTACTCGGGGTTCAAACTACGAACTGTGAGATCATGACTTGAGCTGAAATCAAGAATCAGACGCTTAACCGACTGAGTCACCCAGGTGCCCCTCAACACCTCTCATGCTGCGTGGTTAGGGCAACTAGGTGGTAAGAGAACAGGACCCCTGCCCCCGGGGCTGGATTTGTCATTTGCTGCGCTGAAGGGTGGACCCGGACCCCTGACTGGCCAAAGGTCTGTGCCAGAGCAGGCTGGCTGTCTCTGAAGGAGACGATTAAGAGGCAGCACCCCAAGCACGGTGTCGGAGGGACAGGGTTTTCCAGTTCAGGGCAGGATGGGCAAGCTCTCTGTCCCTTTGGTCTCACCCTGACATCTGCATCAAGCCTTCAGGAATAAGTGGAGAAAAAGAAGGACAGACTTGTGGGCCGTTCCTTGGTGGTTAAGGGTGCACTGAGGTGGGACACGGGCCTTTACCTGCTCTCCTGGTCCACCCCGATTCCATTAAACTTAGAAAAAAAAACAGGGCACAGGGAAGCAGGCCTGTCAGCAAGACCTCTGGGTGCATCTCTGGTCTCAAATACCTCATCATCTCAAAGGATAGAACTTATCAAAGGGAGTGAAGAGGGGCAGGACCGTGGAAGGAAAGAAGGGAGAGAAGGGGCAAGGTGATGGGAGAAGGAGACACCAGAAGAAGGGGCTCCCCTCCTATTCTGCCCTCTCTAGCTGGGTTCAGTCCTTCCCCAGTTTATGCGGAGGGGAGGGGCGCAGAGCATCCCAGGGGAGTGAGACGCAGGCAGTTTTTGAGCCTTGGCTGGGCTGGGGCGGCCCCACCCCCCCCCACCCCCCCCACCCCAGCTGCTAGCCACCCACACAGACATATACACTTTTTCTCATTCCTAGGGCTTTAGGATAGGGCTGTGAAGATGCAGAGGTGGTGAACTAGTGGGGTGAGCTCTGCCCCCACTTCCTCTCTGCTTTGGACCATTTTTCCAAAATAAATGGCAAGGCCTGGCTTTCTCTCTGAGGAGGGCCCGCTCTCCCTATCCACGTGTCAGTGTTTCTCTTCCAGTCTGTTTCCTGGCTCCGGACACAGGACAGCACATGCATCACCTACCACACTCAGGTGCACACACTTCTACTGGGTCACTCACACCAGGACACATGTCCACATAAATCTCTGTACTTGGAGATGCACCCTCTTAGGCCCGAGTCAATCAAATGCTTGAATCAAAGGTCCCCACCACCACCTTTTCCTCCCTCTGCCTCCACTGCTTTCCTTCCTGAGACTCTCTGGCCTTTCCTCCCTCCTCCTCCCTACTCATGCCCTGAAAGCCAGAGCCTGGAGGTCTCCTCCCTCTGGGCAGCTCCAGCCCGGGAGGAATTCTTAGCAGGAAGTGCAGGGTTGGGGCTTGGGGCTTGGAGCTCAGGGCTGGGCTGGAGGCTGAGAGGAGAGGCATCCAGGGGGACTAAATGGAGGCTGTTAATCTTGAGACTGGATGCTCTGTGGGAGTGGGATGAGAGAGAAAGAAGGTTCAGCAACCTTCCCCCCAGGCAGTCCCATCTCTTGGTTGACTGTGCTTCCCACCCACCCCCCCCCCCTTAAACTTTGCTTGGGGAGGGGCAGGGCAGGGACAGCATCCTTCCTGGACCGGCTGCCTGCACCCGCCAAGTCAGGGCTTACCGGGGAGCTGGGGGAGGGGCAGGAAGGGCAGGAGGAGGTGTGCTAACCCAACGTTCCCCACTGGCACAGCCACCTTGCTCTTTTCTTCATTCCCCAGAGAGAGTGACAGGAAGGAGAGGCTGGAAAGAAGGCAGAGGGAAGAAAGAAGAAAGGGGAAAGAGGAGAGAAGTCTGGCAGCAACAGAGACAGGCCAAAAGACCAGAGCAAACGGTGGCCAAGGCTCTAGGCCCCGGTATGTCATGGGGGTGGCTGGCCTCCAGGCCCTCAGGCTCCTCTGGGTTCATTCACCCCAGGCAGGGGCTTGGCCCAGCTGCTCTCTCCCTTTCTCTTCATTCCCGGAGGCCTGCAGGGCCTTGGACAGAGAGAGAAGGCAAGAAAGAGGACCTGGGAGGACACGCTGTGCCGAAGGATCTCGGCTCTGGAGCAGAAGGCCTGGATCCAAGCCTCCTCTCTGCCACTTACTGTGTGACCCCAGCAAGTCACATAACCCTTTGAACCTGCTTCCTCTTCTGTAAGGTGAGGATAATTATTACCTCCGAGTTATCATGAGAAGGGCATTTAATAAGGAGCAGCAACTGTAGTCATTAGAGTCCCGTGCAGCAGGGAGGGGGCAAAGGGGAAGCAGCTGGGAGAAACCCTCCTTACCACCGCAGGCTCCACTTTGCCCCGCCCTACCCCTAGCCTGGGTGCTCTGGGTGACTCTCCCCACCTTATTCCTCTTCCAGCCACCCCCCTCACAAGGTGACAGTGATAAACTCTGAAACCGAGATGAGCACAGGAACGGGAAGAAAAGAGAGCAGGGATCTGGTGGGAAAAAGCAGCAAAGAGGGTGGTGAGAAAGAGGGTTTAGCCCCCAGCCCCGTGTCTGGCGTGCAGCAGGCACACGACAGGAGTATTTGCTGAGAGGAGAACTTGGTGGTGGGAAGGACGCCGGACCAATCCATCCGGCATCCATAGGAACATGCTGGACAGAGCCATCAATAGCACTGGGAGGCAGAAAGGGATGGAGACTTGGAACGAATGGAGCTGGCAACCCGTACAGGAGGGAGCCAGATGCTGTGAGGCTGCTCCCCTGGTGGCCCATCCCCCCCCCCACCCACTCCCTGGGCTGAGGCCCCCTCCAAGTCCTGCCGCTTCTCAGAGAATCTCAGTCTCTGCGGGCATCCTAGAGTCTCTGGTGCCGGCTGGCAGGCTCCGGATGGTCCCGGCTGGCCTCCTCCTCTTCCTTGTCTGGCTCCGGGAGCTTCTGCAGTTCCGAGTACAGCACACAGGCATCGTTGCGTGACACATACTCCCATCCACTCTCCCGCACGTGGAAAAGGTCTACAGAACCCCCGGAGTAGGCATCGCGGTGGGTGGCGTGGGCCACGGCACAGCGAGCCAGGGCATAGGCTTCCTGGGGGGTCATGTCATAGCGGTAGCCGCGGTCTAGCACGCCATAGGCATAGGGAGATCCAGAACCCACGGAGAAGATGTTCCCTTGCAGGCGGGTGCCGTCACTGTAGACATAGAAGAGGGCAGGGCCAGAGCGGTCCCAGCCACACAGGGCCGTGGCCACACACAGATCCAGGCCCCGGTAGCAGGACATCATGGTCGACAAGAGCTTGGCGGCACCGGCCACGCTGGGCAGCTGACCCTCCCTCAGTGCCCGAAGCCGCAGCTCCCGTCGTAGCACGCGGTACCATACGGCACAGTCGGCCGAGGTGCCAGAGGTGGTGCCCAGGAGGTGCTGGTGCACAGGGATGATCTTGCGTGAGGTTGGACACTCCACATAGTTGCCGCAGGAGGAACGTGTGTCAGCAGCAGCGATGACTCCATGCCGGAAGAGGAAGGCCAAGGTGGTGGTGCCATGCGCCAGCCTGGGGCCGTGGATCTGCAAGAAGGTTTGAGGATCGAAGCCTGGGGGCACAGCCCAGGCCCCAGGCTGAGGCAGGTGAGGTGATGGTCCCTGGGTGTTGGGGGCCTGCCACTTGCACACATCCTGCAGGGCCATCCCTGGGGCTGAGTGATGGTTGGAAGGAACAAGGCAGGGATTTGTGGGCTGGAGTCAAGTGGGGAAAGAGACGCTAAAGAGAAGCTGGGCTGCGGCCAGAACTGGTGAGAGAGGCATGTGATCTGTGGCTTCGCTTCTCCCTAACCCCAAATCAGGCTTTGGGACTGGCTGAGAAGCAGCCTCCTCCTTCTCAGAGGATTGCTAAGGGGAGACAGGACGAGGCCGGTGAAGTCTCCACTGTTGGGAAGACGCTGCTCGTGACACATCCGAGCGTCACCCAAGGAGTCCCCTGTCCATCATCCTCCAAGCACTTGGAGCGGAGTGGGGTCGGGGGTAACCTCAAAGGAAGGGAGGCAAGAGTGTAAGGAGCACATCTGGGTCCCTCTTATTTTTCCTGTGGGGCGCATTGGGCTTGCAGAGACAGATAAAGCTCTGTCCCTGTCTGGAAAGAGCTCCCAGACTAGGAGGAGGTAAAGACAAGTGGATCTCTGATGGAATCAGAATAGAATGCTGTGAGGGGCACCTGGCTGGCTCCGTTGGTAGAGCATGTGACTCTTGATATCAGGGTTGTGAGCCCCATGTTTGATATAGAGCTTACTTAAAAGAAAAGAATAGAGTGCTGTGGGCCCACCAAGGCAGGAGTCTTTGATGTTGAGTTCTCTCTTCAGGGGTCTGGGCCCAGGGAACTCTAAAGCTCAGCTCACACCTTCACTTTCCAGTCAGGTGGAGAAAAAGAAATGGACCTAGACCAAGAGAAAAGTTTTTTTTTTTAGTTTATTTTTTTATTTATTTTGAGAGAGAGAGAGTGCACACGCAGGCATGCGAGTGGGGGAGGGGCAGAGGGAAGGAGACAAAATCCCTAGCAGGTTCTGAGCCATCACCACACCACAGAACCCAGCTCAAATTCAGAAACTGTGAGATCATAACCTGAGCTGAGATCAAGAGTCGGCCTCTTAACCCACTGAGTCACCCAGGCACCTCCAGAAAGTCTTATGTGAGGAGGAGGGGAGCTCAAATACCTTCCACAAAGGCAAGGTATGGAGGGGCCAGGGTGAAGGGAACCTAGAATGTGGAGCTCTCGTTCAACTCTGCTTTGGAGGTGAATATGAACTTCCATCTGCATAAAGACAGAGAGAGAGTTCCTGACAGTTCTCTGGCAGTCTAGCTTCTCTGATTATGTAAAAGTTCTGAGGATGTAGCTGAAAGCATCTAATGGCCTTCCCTCTCCCCGCCCCCTTCTGCCCAATAGTTAACAATAGCAAGAGAGATATTTGTAGTTCCAAGGCAAGAGAAACAACTGACCTTGTCCCCATAACGCTGAGTCTAAGTCTTAGACCAACCAGGGGTGGTCAAGGGGTGGGGTTAGTAGACCCTGACAGCTGGCCCTTCAGAAAGACAAAGTAGATTGGGACAGAGCGGCAAGCTGCAACTTCTTCCAGCACCATCTGGACTATATTTTACCAAACACTGCAGCTCATAGGGGTGCTGTGGAAATGGGTTTAGTCAAAGAAACAGACACACACACAAGAGAAAGATCCCAGGCCCTCCAGATACCATGATGACAGGGCCGTGGAGTCGCTATAATGGCAAGTGCAAACATGTCATGGGAAGACCAGAGAAACCAGGATGTCACAGTAAAGTCCAACCAGTCTTTCTCCCTTCTTTCTCCCTCTCTTACTAGACAGATAAGAATGTCTCCTGTTTTGTTTTGTTTTAATTTTTTTTAACGTTTAATTTTGAGACAGAGACAGTGTGAGCTGCGGAGGGGCAGAGAGAGAGGGAGACACAGAATCCGAAGCAGGCTCCAGGCTCTGAGCTGTCGGCACAGAGCTCGACACGGGGCTCGAACCCACAAACCACGAGATCATGACCTGAGCCAAAACCAAGAGTCAGATGCTTAACTGACTGAGCCACCCAGGTTCCCCAGAATGTCTACTGATTTTAAAGACTAAGCCTTAGATGTTTCGTATATGAATGGATTGTCACCTCCCTAGGTCAAGCCATTCTCAAGTCAGATCTGGACAGTTGAATGGACTTCTAATTGGCCATCCTCCAGTCTCCCCTCTAATCTTATCCTCCACACTGACATGTTTTCCTAAGATATCACTCAAATCTTGTGTCTTCCCTACTAAGAAACCTTGAAGGGCTACAAGATCAAACCCAAACCACCTTCTCCTCCCCAGGCTAGCATTTAAGACCCACTGTGGTGCAACCCTGATCCATCCACCACAACCTCTTTTCATGCTATTCCTAACACATCTCACACTCCCCCTTTACCTTTTTCATCTATTTTTTTTAATGTTTGTTTATTTATTTTGAGAGAGAGGGGAGGAAGGGAGAGAATGCAAGTGGGAGAGGGGCAGAAAGAGAGGGAGAGAGAGAATCCAAAGCAGGCTCTGTGCTGTCAGCGCAGAGCCCAACATGGGGCTCGATCTCATGAATTGTGAGATCATGACCTGAGTCGAAATCAAGAGTCAGATGCGTAAGCAACTGAGCCATCCAAGCGCCCCTTTACTATTTACTTTTAAGGAATCTCTACACCCAATGTGGGGTTCAAACTTATAGCCTCGATATCAAGATTTGAACGCTGTATCGAATGAGCCAGTCAGGTGCCCCTCCCCTCTATCAATATGAATCCCATCCTTAAAAGCCTGGCTTAAGTATCATCTACTCTGAAAATCCTTCTGGTCTGAGAAAGGAGAGGCTGTTGGTTTGAGGAACAATGGGACCCAAGTGGTGTTTAGGGAAACGAATCCACACCTCCTTAGCAAAGCCTTCTTGGTCTCCCAACCTCAACCCAAACTGTATTAATCTCCTCTCTCACCTCCAAACCACAATAGTTATCATTTTTCCCCCAAGTCCACTCTATTGAGATAAAATTGACATATGACATTGTGTAAGTGTAAGGAGTACAGTGTAATGATTTGATACATGTATATACTGCAAAATGTTTACCACAATAAAGTTAGTTAACACATCCTTCACTTCACATAATTAACCATTTTTGTGGTGGTGGGAAGAACATTTAAAATCTACTCTCTTAAGGGGCGCCTGGGTGGCGCAGTCGGTTAAGCGTCCGACTTCAGCCAGGTCACGATCTCGCGGTCCGTGAGTTCGAGCCCCGCGTCGGGCTCTGGGCTGATGGCTCGGAGCCTGGAGCCTGTTTCCGATTCTGTGTCTCCCTCTCTCTCTGCCCCTCCCCCATTCATGCTCTGTCTCTCTCTGTCCCAAAAATAAATAAACGTTGAAAAAAAAAATTTTTTTTAAATCTACTCTCTTAAGGTTGCCTGGGTGGCTCAGTCAGTTAGGCATCTGACCTCGGCTCAGGTCACGATCTCATGGTTTGTTCCAGCCCCGCGTTGGGCTCTGTGCTGACAGCTCGGAGCCTGGAGCCTGTTTTGGATTCTGTGCCCCCCTCTCTCTCTGCACCTACCCCATTCACACACACTCTCTCTCTCTCTCTCAAAAAAATAATAATAAATAAACATTAAAAAAAATCTACTCTCTTAGCAACTTATAAGTATATAATGCAGTGCAGCATCGTTAACTATAGTCACAATGCTGTACATTTGATTCCCAGAACTTAATCTTCTCATAACTGGAAGTGTGTACCCTTTGACCAACATCTCCCCATTTCCCCTACCACACAACCCCCCGTAACCACCAATCTATTCTCTGTTTCTATGAGTTTGGCTTTGTTAAATTCATCATATAAGTGAGATCATACAGTGTTTGTCTTTCTCTGTGTGACATATATCTCTCTATATATAGATACAGATAGATATAGAGACAGATGATATACATATATCTATGTCTGTCTATCTATCCATCTATCTATTGAACCAATATAAGGTAAGCTGGAAACAGATTACAGAAGGCCTTGAATGCCATGCTGAGCTGTTGAATTTTACAGAACATATTTAAGCAGGCAAGTGATAAGATTAAGAGAATGAGGCACCTAGGTGGCTTAGTTGGTTAAGGGTCTGACTCTTGATTTTGGCTCATGATCTCATGGTTTGTGAGTTTGAGCCGCACATGAGGCTCTGCAGTGTGTCAGTGTGGAGCCTGCTTGGAGGTCTGTCTCCCTCTCTCTCTGCCCCTACCCCATGTGCCCTCTCTCTCAAAATAAATAAATAAACTAAAAAAAAAAAAAAAAAAATTAGGAAAAAAAAAAGATTAAGAGAATATTTTAGGAAAATCAATCTGATGCTGTGCAAAATGAATTAGAGGGTACAGTTAGGGCCCCGAAAATCAGGTGGGAGACTATTTCAGTAATCAGAGGCGAGCAAATAAGGTGATATCAGTTGCAATGAAAAAGGACATGAGAAGCATCGTAGAGGAAAAATCAACAGGATTTGACAACTTACTGAATGTGGAGGAAAGGAAGAGGAGTTGTCAGAGATGAGCCGGGGCTTCAAGCCTCTGTGACTGGAAGAACATTGTTGTCATGCTCTCATGTATTCATTTGGCAAGCATTACCTAAGCATACAGTGGGCGCTGAGATGAATAGTGCAGAAATACCTGTCTTTAGAAACTCACAATCAATTAGGAGATAAATGTACACTTAACAGCCAGGTAAAATGCAAAAGTGTCTTCAGAGACGAACAAATGCTATCAGTGGCAGTGTGAAGGAACCACAGGGAAAAGTCAGAAAGAGGACTAGTTACATTGCAGGGGGGACCGCAAAATAATACCTGATCTGTAAACAGAGGCACTCCGCATTTTCGACACCATCCAAGTGTGAGACGCAGATAAAGATCTTCTGCTTCATTACATTCTGATGGTTGGGCTTGGAAAGGGTTGCCAAATTTCAGCATTAAAAATACAACATATGCAGAGTCTACTGGGGAAGAGGAGGGGCTGAGTTGGGCATCAGAGGAAAGTGGAATTTAGATATTGATGGATGTTGCTGCTGGAATCCAACAAGAAAGACCAGACACTGACTTCATAGAACCATAAAGCAGGAGGCAACAAACATTTCATACCTTTGCCCACTTCCT